ATGAACCCTTATATTAGAAATTGGGTAAGGCACTTAGTAATTCTAAAGCTGTACACTGTAGGTGTTATGCCAAATTCCCCCAATGATTTACTTAAGCAATAGACCACACCTTCTATGAGTTTACTGGCATAATAACCCATGTTGGGTGTTGGGAGAACACGAGAAAAGCTTGTTCCTTGCATAAAGTCGTCTGATCAATGACTGAAAAAATTCCATTTTGATGACTTGCCAGTACCCAGCTCTGGGTAGTGCTGGGTAGAAAGGTCTTTTTCATTGCATGAAAGGGAGTCCTTTTATAATAGTGTCTAATAAAAGAAGTGATTTTTTGCATGTGTTTGCCTGGGTGTTTCATGACTTGATGAAGGGAAAGTGCAACACAATCCCTGTGAAATCAACTGTTTGTACCAAATTGCTTCATGGCTGACTTGTTGTCTCATTATTCTTGCCAACAGTAACATTTCTACAAGTAGACCTGGCACTCCCCACCAGTATTAGTTCCCTTTGTTTTTCAACCTTGCAAGAACTAGATTCATGAAAATAGCAGTGCTAACACTGTCTTGTATTCTTTCCCTACTTTTTAAGCTTTTTGACACCGATTCCCTCCGACTTATGAATACCTACAAGACAGAAAGACCTGTTAATTCAGCCTCACTCTCTCCCATCAGAGAACATGTAAGTATAATTAATTGTTAAACTGTGCACTGTAATTTTCCATTCAAAACCAAACGTGTTATTAAAATTATATTAACTCAACGTTTGCAATGTGCGCTGTACAGTGACCACCCTTGGTACATGACAAAGTAGTTAGGAGGTGGTCGCTATGAGAGAGCAGACTGTAGTTGGTTTGCCTCTGAAAATCCTGGCAGTGCTTGCAGAGGTTTTGCTCCCTTAGGGTGTTCTGGATGGCAAGCCAACATTTTTAACCCATCTACAGTCTCAGTCAAAATTTTTGGCACAGTTTGCGGTCTTCTTGCCTTCCCAATGTTGGTGTGCAAGATTTGGTGAGTTGACTGCGATAAACAATATTGGGAGGACAATGAGACGGGCCAGAAGTAAAAAACAGCATCAGGTGGAAGTGTCCCAACTATTTTTGTCCGAGACTGTAGGTATCATTGAGGGTTGTTTGTGATGAGTTATCTAATGAAACAACCACCACACTGCCACACTGTGTTGAATGCAGCATTCAGTATCAATATCTTTAGCTCATTAAAAGTCACCATAGCTTTGATTTGGTTGTCTGTTTTAGTGCAGTGTCCATTAGGGGCCAAATAAGGCCCGAGCCACAGCCATGGTCTCCTTCAGGGGTTTAATTCTAATTTTCCAATGAAGAGCAAGATCACATTAAAATGGAAGTCTACTTGCCGCCTCTCCTCCCTCCCTCCCTCCCTCCCTTTTCCTGCCAACCATGTTCAGGGTTTGAAAAAGTCTTTAAATCTGCCCCACAGTATTATTTTCCAGACCTGGAAAAAGTCTAGAAAATGATGATAAAGTCTGGAAAAAATGGTAATAATTAGAGGCACAAAAGAACTATAAACTTTTTATTGCAACTGTGTATTCTACCCCATGTACAACATTGATCAGACAGTAATAATGAGATACATTTACATTGTACACGCAAACCTATTCTGCATGGCTGTTCCTATCATTGTTGGCGCATTGTACACTAACCCCTCTCTCCTTGCTCTTTCCAAATTGACTCTTAAAACCTGACATGTTTATTAGCTCCCATGTTACCTAAGTGGGTATTAAACAAAGTGGCCTTGTCGATTCTGTGCTAAATTATTATTAGGCTTTATAGAGAAACGAGGGTTCTTCAGTTTTCAAGACAAAATGGGTTTTGAAATAAATCTTGCTGGCTCTGATAGGTTGTGTTAGGAGGTGGCCAAGAGGCCATGGATGTGACAACTACGTCAACAAGAATTGGGAAATTTGATGCTCGATTCTTCCACACGGTGTTTGAAGAGGAAATTGGGCGCGTTAAGGGGCATTTTGGACCAATTAATAGCACTGCTTTTCATCCCGATGGAAAAAGGTAACCCTGAAATAGCTTTACAGTGTATATAATAGGACTTAGCCTGTAGCCTATAGCCTGTAGTTCGTATTAGTGATTTCAAAGTAAGTTCATTTAAGTTTTCGTTTAGAGGCAAAAACAATCAAAAGCCTCGATGCTCCAGCTAGGGAAGTAAAGGTATCATTATTTGAAACTGGAGAAAGACGTTATAAGGAGGCAGTGCCACAAAGCTCTAGTAGTAGTTGAATATCCAGTCAAGGCATAGTTAGTAAAGGAGACTGTTGGCCAGAACCTCTTTAGAACCTCTAATTTGATAGGTTCTTGTTGGCCCGAAACTCTATTGTCTCAGAGTTGGGGTTCACTGTTAGTTTTGTTTGGGGTAGGGCTATCTATTGTTTTCTAAACCAGTCCTGTGAGCCGTTCTTAGAGCTTCCAGCCCACCCAAAGGTGACGAGTTATGAAAGGCGGCAAACATCAAAGACAAAAAACAACAGTGCTGCAGTTTATGTTGGAAGCTCCCTAACGGCGTTTACAATCCCTAGTTTTTTTGCTCACAAATTGTGACGGGATAAGTTAATGTGACGTTTTCGTCGGTAACCAAAATGAATCAAAAGAATGCTATTGAAGCTTCAAGACTTCAAGTCCACAATGGAGTCAGGCGAGCGGGCGTCATGACCATAGCACTTTTTTTACTATGGTCAAGGTTGGTGTCAGTGAATTCGAGACTGGTGCTCTAAACTAGCCTGCGTAGCTGGCGGGAGTAGCGTGGGAGTGCTGTATTTGTTTGGTGGTTCTGCCGCCAAAAAAGTTCCCCGGGCACAAGAATCCCCTCAGCTATACAGGCTAGCTCTAAACTCTTTAAGATGGGTAGAAACGAAGCCATCTTGTATTTGAGAAAAATTGCTGACGATCTCAAGCATGGTTGGTTTATTTCTGGAAATAACGTGGTATTGCTTTACAATGGTTTAAAAGTTATCTTTTCTGTCGAAAACAATTTATGCAATAAAATGGTTACAACTGTTCATCATTAGATATTACTTGCGGAGTCCCTCAGGGCTCTATGTTAGGCCCCCTGTTATTCTTACAATATATTAATGATCTATGTAATGTGTCAAAGTTCTTAAAGCTGATATTATTTGTCGATGACACTAATACATATCTTCTATTTACATATTGATGCTTCCTGTCTCGTGGAAGTTGTAAATTTAGAATTGATTTAGAATTTATCATATTCAGCCACGACAAAACAGGCAAACACTTGATCTAGCTTTTCATTTAATATTAGTAATTATTCGATTGATCGTGTTAAGGAAGCTACTTTTCTTGGTGTAATTTTGGTTGAATATTTAACATGGAAATCGCATATAAATAATGTTGCAAAGAAAGTGTCTAAAGCCATAGGTATAATTTATAAATCAAGTTTTAGTAATTCCTCCTTATGGACACTTTATTATAGCCTTATCTAGCAAGTTGATCATGCATCAAGCGCAGTTTAATCAATAATTCGGGAGACCTATTGTTTAATTGAAGTAATGACTCAGAACCCTTTCAAAAATACTTTTCCTGTGGGAAGAATTAACAGACTTGGGTTGACAGCAGTGAGAACCCAGTGTCAGTTTGGGGGCCTTAGTAGATACAATTGTAGATAAATAAATGGGAACGGCAAAATTCTCATCTTTGATTTCTCCTAACCACGCCCAATCGTGTTTAGACATGATCCTGGAGATTTATTGTGAACGAAAACTGGAAGGGTGCAAATGAATTAATCACCCGGGTTCGCTTTCGTCCTGCCGGCAGTTTGTTTCATGAATGTCCGGCCATTGAATTGAGCGCTCATATTTTTGTAATTTACTGACTGCGCATATCGACAGTAAGGGTACCAGCGATTGGCTGATCAAAGATTAATGCGTTAGCCGTGAGCGTGTTTGTTTTTCGGGTTTGTAACAGAGGCACAATAAGGTCTTTAGTTGCATGTACTCACTGCTTGTTTTTGTTTTTTTTCTTTGTTGCAGTTACAGCAGCGGTGGCGAGGATGGTTATGTTCGTGTGCATGTGTTTGATCCTTCCTACTTTGAACTAGAATTTGAATATTAGCTTACATAAATTATCGCAAATCTCTCATCTTGTCCGGTCATTTTCTTGATGAAGAAGAGACTCTAAGGGCAGTTTACTGTGTGGACTTCAACCCCCTTCCACTCTCAGAATTTTTAATTGGACATGAGTGCCTGAAACGTAACTGGTCTCGATATCGTGTGAATAGCCATTCTGGACTTCCGCCTGTGAGGAATGAAACAGTTTCTATTTTCTGTATGCTTTGTTTCCCGAACCATGCTTTCATTTTCATAGTAATCATCCCCGGAAGAAAGCAGCATATCCCTGGGCCATTTCCCTCCAGACGCGGTCCCTACCTCGTACCCAGCCGCCTCTCTCTCGGTGTAAATTTGCACCTGAAGGAAGGCGGAAAGGAGACAACAATTCTCCTTTGTCTCCTTCCCTTGGTCCCTAGCGCCTCGTCACCAGTCACTCGTGTTTCTCGCTCGCCTTTGTTTCCGACCAAAGTGCGAAAACGAAGCACCTGAGGAGTAGGTAGACGCGGCCCTTTAGTCTTATAAACTACTCGCGTACAAGCAGGAAAGCAGAAGCCATGGTTAGTTCAGTGAGATGTTGGCAAGCATATACATGAGAATGAAAAGTAAAAGATTGTGAATGACTTGCACCACTTTTGGGTCCCAAATCTTGCTTGTTTTTAAACTAAACTCTAAACTTTAGTCTCTTCAGCGAAACCAGAAGCATAAAACCCTGAATCAGGGTTATATGCCTCTGGCGAAACCAAAAGTACCCTTAACGCTACCCTAAACATTAACATCGTCTGCCAATCCAGAATGTCACGTGTTCTACGTTAATTCGCTTGTGTAGTTGGAAGAGTCAATGTACCCGTGTCCCGCACCTGAGACTGCGTACTTGCAGTTGATTCAGGGGTTCGGTTCGCAGCCTCCGGTTGTTGCAGCGGTTCCACTCTATTGGGGGCTATTCTCCTTTTATTTCCGCCTCCCTGCATTTGATTGCGGGCTCTGATCTCTCTTGGCTGGAGGATCCTCTCGTTTCTATTGTGAATTCTCCGTCTGGCACTACCACTGAGCATGATCTTTACAGTCGATCTGAACCTTGAATTTAGAATTAAGTAAGCGAGTGGAGGACAAAGCACATTTGATTCCGCTAGCAGTTCCAATGCAAAAGCAGTAATGGTTGAATGGGGGTAATATCTCATCACCATAGCAGCAACATTTGTCACGTGATTTGGTAAATGGCTGGCAAAGAAATAGACAGTCAAGCCAATAACCATGTAGTTGATTTTTCTTCGATACAGAAGTTTGCGTCTGATAGCAAGGTTTCTTGTACTGTGAGATCTTTGCCAGATTCTGCATTAACGAAAATAATAGGTGTAGTTTAATATCAATGAATTACCGATATATTTTTTCCGATTTGTAGCATCAGGCGTTTTGCTCACCAAACTCGACTGGGTGTGTTCCGTCCAACAAGTCTAAGGACAAATTTTGGGGTGTTCACGCCTTGGTGTTGAGGAAACCTTCGCTGGTTTGCTTTGTGTTGTATTGTGCGTATTGTTGTGTCTTTTCAATCTTGTTTGACGTCATTTAGTGATTTTACCATCCGCATAGGGAACTCAAGCAAGGACGTTTTTAACAGACGCACGTCAACCGGAAGTGGTTGATGTCGTGCACGTCAATACTTGATCCCAGGAATATTTAAGATTAGGCGTTTCTATAGTTACCAGTCACCTGACTCTCTAGTGGCTAATTAAAAAATCAAAACTCCCAAAAGTTTCTCCTTCAAAGGTATGTAACCTGAAACAGTGATACTTTGCAGAAATACAGTGCACATTCTTGTGACGTCACAAAATAGGCTTTTTTTGTCATGCACAGTACTAATCCAAAAAACTGAATTTGAAACAATAACTTAAGAAATATCAATAATGAAAGGCTCCACTCATTATCTTCTATAGCTAGAGGTAGTGATAATATTCCATGCATATATATTTTTTTAAAATTGAACAAATTTGTGACCGATTTTTCGGCACTTTTTTTCCCAGCGTTCTATTTTCGAACTTGTGCTTGCTGTAGAAAAAGCTTAACTGTAAGAAATACTTTACCTTAAAATGTTATATTGCATGGTTAGACAGAGCAACATCGGCAATAGATATATTGCAAAACTACTGAAGGTATTGAAAAGGTATTCTTCAGAGAGCCAATTTAGATCACAGGTCAGATCGGATGCAGATATGCGATAGAGATCCCCAACAAAATACGATAGAGCGCCCACAAGGATAGGATATATCCACAGTAGCAAGAATAGGGCGATATTAGATCTCCTTGACACGGATTGAACACGGCCGCCACTACATCGAAGCATGAAGATTTCAGAGAGCACGTTCATCCCACTCAAAGTTGACGAGTAAGCACAGCTGCCCCAGATGCCCACAAAAGCCGTCCACTTGCACGGAAATACCAGTGTATTATTGTTTGTTTCCCCTTTGAAGTCGATGCCCATTGAGACGGAATAGCCACAGGCTGTTAGAATTATCGAAACAATACAGATGTTGAGCATCATTGGGGCCAGAACTCTGCGGCGCATTGTAGGCCGAAACAAGGCGTAAATGGTGGAAAGGTGCAAGATTAACGCCAGTACAACAAAGGCCATAGAGATGTTAACTGATAGGACCAGTAAAGAACTGGATCTATAGCCATTGATCATTGCACTTGAGTTGTTCATTTTCAGTGCCAATCTACGAGAGTGAAAAAATGATGAGGAAAAACAATGCAAAATCAAAAGAAAAAAAATAACCCCCAAAAAAGGGTTGCGTTGCTTGCTTCAAATGAAATTTTCCGACCCGAAGTCCAGTTTTCCCAGTATAACCACAGGTAACCCTGGCGTACAGTGAGAAACGTTGATGCGAAACTAAAATTATAGATATTTGAGGAATAATGTGATCAACATGTCACGAGCATGGGACAAAGAAAAAAATCTGAGTCCCCGACAATAATTAAAGCTATGATCTTCCGTACACATGATATATATTTTTGTAAGGGGCTGCATCAAAACTTTGGCAATCGCTATTCGGAAGTCATAAATGGTAATGAAGAAGAAGTCCTAATTTGTTTTTCTAGTTTATTACAATTGTTGAGTGTTCTTGGCATTTAAGAGCCACTCCAGCGATATTTTAGTTGAGGAGTTGTCCTCTCTACCAGTAAGAGAAAAACTAACCACTGAAATTTGCTGGAATTGCTCTGAAAAGGCCATAATGAATCAGGGGCACCCGACGTCAATTTTTGGAAAATATGTGTTCGGAAGACGTTTTGAGATCTAGAATTTTCGAAACATTTGTTGTAGGATTTCTTGCTTGCCTGCCTCGCCTAGGATTTTCGAACATCCGAAAACTGATGGTATAATTGCCTACTTTTAACGGATTTTTACCCTAAAAACGTCACCTGGAATTTTCGGAAGCCTTTTTTCTGGCTGAAATTTTCGAAAAGATAAGTTTTGATCCCTATCATTTTCGGATCACTAGACTTTCAACTAGGAAAACCGAACAGATGGAAAATTTTTTAGGGGATAAATATATTCCTATATCTACCGTTTAAACACTAAAATACGTTCAACAATGCTATGTTAACTGGTTTTGAACTATATTCTTGTTGGGTGCCCCTACTAAATGGTAAGAACACTCATAAGTATTTTAACCATTTTAAGTATTTTAACCATTTTAAGTATGGTAATTCTCTTCATAAGGCAATTATCTTATTACTGATTTTCATAAAAGCAATGCCTTAAACTGAATGTAAGGTGTTGTAGTAAAACTTCCCTTGGCCAGTGATGATTTCTTGTGTAGATTAAGCAACTAATGCAGCTAATTAATGAAGTGGATAACTGACCCGCTTTATCAATAAAATCCCATATTTAATTCCTCAGTGCTTTACCCTGCACAGACAACTTTTGGGGTTATCCTAAATTTGATGGAGAAGTACTTTTTACAGGCTTGGATTTTTTCGGATTAGCTTTTCGTCTACGTTATCCGATGAAAGCAGTCACCGAAAAAGGAACTTAACTTCTTCAAAACTCTTTTACCGCGTAGACATTTTTACAACACGACAGTTTCCCATTGTCGTGTAGACAGGTGAAAACGCAAGTTTGACAAAACGACGACGTCACAGACGTCTGACCTCGCGCGTAATGTATTTAAAAATGTTTAATCGCCACCTTTCCCTACTTGAGACCTAAACCGTGTCAGTTTAAATTAATGTTTTCTTTAAGGGTTAAAAATGTTGAAGCTTGTGGTTTCAGAATACCACTTAGTAAGGGGAGCTTTATTTAACTGCCGGTCTCGATAATCAAATCATTAAACGACTCGACAGAGGACAACAAGCAATACACTCCAAGATTTGAGTTGGATTATTCTTACGTAAAACCTGATTGGCTACTCGGAGACAACTTTATTGACCAAACATTGATCGCAGAGTGAAAAAACGTGGATTTTATTATGACTCAAAACTGAATCAATGCGACAGAAATGTATACTCGACAGAAATGGATACTCGATGACGGGGAGGAACGATTCGAATACGTGTGGACGTGAACTTTTCGCGCTTTCTAAAAGAATGGATACGTGAAGAGGGAGGCTTAGTTCAGGGGCACCCAACGGCAAATTTCGGGAAAATATCTGTTCAGAAGACGATTTGAGAACTAGAATTTTCGGAACATTTGTTGTAAAATTTCTTGCTTGCGTGCCTCTCCTAGAATTTTCGAACATCTACAAAATGGTATAATTACCCATTTTAAACGGATATTTACCCTAAAAAAGGCCACCTAGAATTTTCAGGAGCCTTTTCCTGGCTGAAATTTTCGAAAAGGTAAGCTTTGATCCCTATAATTTTCGGATCATTAGACTTTCAGCTAGGAAATCCGAACAGATGAAAAGTTTTTAGGGGATAAAAATATGCCTATATCTACCGTTTAAATACTAAAATACGTTCAACAGTGCTATGTTAAGTGGTTTTGAACTATATCCTCGTTGGGTGCCCCTGTTAGTTAACTTCTTTTTCGGATACTTTTATTTTTTAAGTCGAGGGAGAGGAACATTTTGTCAAACTGAAGAAATGTGTGCTAATCAGAGAGCCGAGAAGTAGTCCAATTCATTGCCTTATCATGATTTGCCGTTATGTATTTACATCTACCTATTATACTGATGTTCGAGAACATAATTATTCGGGCTTTCTCTCTTGAATAATTATTCTTGAAGTAAAGTATGGCACTAGGCAGTTATACCTTTTTCGAAAAAAATAGGGTAAAAAACCTATTGAGTGGTATGCATGGTGCGTAAGGCTCCAGTTTTTTAACTATGGCCGTGATACGTATCGACTAAGATTTAAGCTTTCCGGTTGATTTTTAAAGCATAAAAAAGAATTGCCCCTACCTTCCTCTCTCATGTCCACAGAAACTTAGAAATGAATTCCAGTTTGTTGACGCTTATAAATCATGGTTGATTTGGCATGTCACTTCCCAGTTCAGCTCTGTAGACATATTCACCTGTACAGACGTTCAGCTTGACTGATTGTTTGTATATAGTAATATATGCTACAAGATCTACGTCACTCTGAAGAAGACCTTCAGACTGACTTTAATATTCAGTTTTTAAGGGCACGCCCCGGATACATGCCTTGTTGTAGAAAAACAAAGACTCTCTCTCAAGCTAGGTTAGACGAACACCGGCGTTATAGGTGGCCGCGGCACACTATAGTAATGAAAATTAAGTTGCAGTTTAAGAAGAAAAACTGAAAGCAATTTACCTAGCGCACTGTTACAGTAAGAGGATAAATTAAAATCACGTTTTTTTGTCCAACCGGAAACTAAGACTAGCAAAGCAAGCGGGAACCGATAAGAAACAACGCGTTTACTGGGCAAAACAACAACCCCGCACGTGAGTCCACAGGTAGCCCAGACTCGAAAAGGTTGCGTAACCTTTAAAATGTAAGTGTTGGTGTGAGGAGAAACAAGGTTTCTGAAACCTACATAGGGCCAGGAGAGAGAGAGAGAGAGCAAACCAGTTGATATCTCCTAATTAGCCCGTTATACGCCCAGAAATCGGCTCGGAATTACACAAAATTAGACAAGTACGAGAGAGTAGGTTAGAAACTTTTTTTCCAGGAGTCGATCTGATTTTATCATTTAGTCTCCTATTCATAAATTCCTTTCAACGTTACGCAAGTAACGTGCACACTGGGAAAAAGGCAAGACGGGTTTCAAGAGAAAAATCTATACTAGTGCATATCCTTAGTATTTCGAAGGTTACGCTACAGTAACATAGTTCGCATTTCGAGCATGGCTTAACCTTAACCTTAACCTTATTCGCTTAGCTTACGTCGCTCTCTATTCGAAGGACCTTTGGCCACTAGCAGTGCGGAAAAGTGGTATTCTTAACATTTCGGAGTCCCTGGTTGTCCTTGTCGAGCAATGCGGCCGATCTTTTTACGAACTTTGATGTTAAGTATGCTGGAGCACATTCGTTGAGGCCTCAAATGTAATAAATGACCCTAAATGTAATAAAGGTTCGAAGTGTAATAAATTTTGGCCCTAAAGGTAATAAAAATCCTAACAATAGTAGAATAACTCTTGGCCGTCAACTTGATAAATTTGCAGTGACTATAACGTCATAGCCAGGCGATTTGCATTCTACGCCATGTTGAAGTCATTTAATTAACAATTCCACATTGCCCATAATGCAAGGTGTTTACCTTCCAATATTTCGCATATTAACCGGCGTGGTGTTTCCAGTTAACGAAACTTGACGTGTGCTGCAAGGTATCTCGGAGCAAAAGCTTAAGCCCCCCAGTTCCCGGGCTCGGCTGTCTTTGTACTGAAAGCAGCGTGGCAAACGTCAATATGTATTAAACTCGTATCACCTAGGTCCGCTCAAATCTTATTCCCCGCCTTTCGTCTTTCGAGACTCCATTTGTCAAATCCGGAACGCCTGCTAAGGAAATATCTTCAATGGTGGGATTATTTCAACTACATATAATACTAGGTCACCAGGATATACTGGGGCCACAACATGGGCTTCGGGTGGAGGCCTTTAAATAAATTGGCAAATTGAGCTGTAAAGGGGACTCCTTCGAACCCCTCGAACCCCCCCCCCCCCCTCCTCCCCCTTCTACTCGCCTGTGTACTTAAATAGCTCTTAAATTCTTAAATACTAAAACAGCAAGTCGATAGTATAGTTGTTGCTTGACTGGGAGCCAGCGCAAGTCTTTTAACCAGGGAGTAATGTGATCAAATTTTCCAGCTTCGCTCGTAATTCTACAGGCGAAATTCTATACTGCTTGGTACAACTTTCAAATTTCGTCCTATTCATATGCACATACATACACAGTTTATGAAAAAACAAAGGAAAAATTCCCTTAAGGACATGTTCATCACATCACCTTCATTGGAAAAATAAAACGTATAAGCTTAAGCCGAGGCCTTTTTCTTTACCTTCCTCAGGCAACTACCACGTCCATACGTTCGATTCGGAAACTATTTAGAAAGTGTTTTTCCTTTATTTTTTAGCGGAATAGAGCGTTTTCATGGTTTTCCTAAACAATGAATCGGTACAGGAGCCGAGTAATTGGCTCCTGATCGGGAGCCATGTTATGGGTGCTCCAAGCCAGTCTCTTGCAAGTTGAACTCTTTTCTGATGTAAACACTTTCTTTTAACCTGA